AATGTTAGATCCTCAGCTGGCTTTAACAGGCTTAACAAATAAACCAGGTGAGGATGTGGTCCTGAAAGCACAGCATGATTAATTATAAGGAAAACTCATTAACTTCATGTGGGAAGGTATGCCTAAGTTAAAAGTGTGGGTGTGGGTTCAGTGCTATGGTGAACTGGACAAGGGTTTAAATCTTCTTTCTCCTTATCCTCTGTACTTACTTTTCTACGAACTTTTCAAGTCGGGTAAGCATATCTAGTGGAAAGTATCCCTGCCCAGGGCAGCCGTGTTGGAACTTGATGATCTTTGATGTCTCTTCCAACCTAAACCAATCTATGACTCTCCGATATATCTAGGATTTCAATACCAATTAGCTGTGTTACGGGCAATGTGGCAGGACTGGCTTTATTTCTTCAGTATTGTTTAGTTATGCCGGTCCATGCAAGCTTCGAGACCAAACTCAAATTTTGAGGTATGTTTAAGGCTTATTTCTCTTGTACTTCATGAGTGAGGAAACTACTTAATAAAAATGAACACGGTATTTACAAATTTAGTCTCCATGGCATTGAAAGTTCTCTCAGCTCTGTAGTACCTATTTTCTGTAACCCATAAATATCTTCTACATAAATTATCTGCACCTGTTGTTGTTAATTCCATGCTTGTTGAACCACCTATATGTAACATGTAAATTTCTATCGGTTGTGATTCTGAAATTTGTCATATCCAGGTGCTCTCGAGTTTTGATATTCAGTTGTTAAACACATCCACGCAGTAATTACAGTTGGGGCTGATGTTACCAAAAACAGTCATTCAGATTTAAAAAGACTCCTCTCTCCAGTTACAGAAAGCTCCGTCATACTCAACCACATAGCCTGAAAATGTTCAGAGTAGGAACTCCAGTTTGGTACATGTAATTGGGAATACAGCAGTGTCTTGTACACCATGGAAAATGAATCAAGGATTTAAGGATTCTGAACTCTGATACGGATCCTCATTTTCACTTGCACAAGAGCTTGCACAAGCGATGCACAGCTTAACTGGGTTTCCTTGCTCCTTGTTGCTAAGATTTATTCTCTGCTGTTGGAGCAGGGCACAGGTAAGAAGTAGTGTACATTCCTGGTGTTATTTACAACTATTGGCATATCCCACACATCTCTATACATATTTTTTTTTAGACTAGTTCATGTCAATTTTTTCTTTAAAATTGACGCATGCTGTTGAGTGGACTTAAAGAAATTAGCTCTTACTCTGCTCTTACCCACTGTCTCCCTTTCATTTCCTGCTGTGGAGTAGATTGGAGTTCTTGTTTTATTGGGAAGAGTGAGAATAGAGGGGGAACTAAAAAAAAAAAGCTTTGCAGATGGATTTAAATTCATTGTAATACAGTGGTTTTTTTCAGATTCTTGAAACTTTGCTATAATTTACTCACAAGATGATATGGCGCAATTTCTATCTGTTGTTTCCTTGGAAGTCAGCTGGAGGTGATGAAAATTATAGAAGGAAAATCACAGTCCACTGCAATAAAGGTCAAAAAGAAAAATCTGACAGTTCACAGCAAATGAATAACAGTTTTTTTTTTTTTTTATATGTAATATCCTGTTAGAGATTGATTTAATAAATCACAATAGAAACTTTGTATGAAATAATCCCATGTGAATTACTATTCCATTGAAGGAAAAAAAATTAATAATCCTTACTTTCAGTTCATGAGTTGCAAGGCTGGAAAGAACATTTTATTATATCTATACTAGAAAAAGCTGTGCTTACCTACTATGGGTTTTAACTAAATTGGTGTGAGCGGCTCAGCTGGCCTCTGAGCTGTTTTGGTTACCTACCCCATCCCTCTGAAAATAAAACCTGAGCGTCTTAGCCATCAAACAGTAATTTCTGCTCCTCCAAGGAAATTCCTTTTGCTCTATGCTTAAAACTTTACTCCCTTACAACTAAAAAGACCATCTGCTTTTAGACAGCAGCTTTATTGAGAGTAAATCTACGCAGCCAAATAAGTATTGTAATTTCTGTACCATGCTGATTGGTTGACTGAGAAATTATGCTTTACAAATACTGCTTTTTTTTTCATCAGGTCCCCTTACCAAATAATGGTGGTGGAACCAATAAAGCTTAGCAATCTATCAACAGCAAACTCTGGCTAAGAGGAAAAATAGATGAAGACATAATCTGTATCTTTTCAAGTATTTTGATAACTTCAACTTGATGGCAATTTGAAATCTGATAGATTTTTCCTTTTTATCTTCACTGACGTGTGCATACTATTAAAGAAAAATTGGTAGATGCGCCCACAAGCAGATTCATTTCTGATTCCATGTCCCTTCCTGGAAAATCTACAATCTCAGCAACCTGAGGAATTATTGATTTTTGCTTTCTAAGCACTTCAAACCACTTACCTGTAAATCTTATATGTTTTTCTCAGTAAGCCAAGTCTTTGAGTTCGATTAAATCACAATCTAGCTTTCAATTTTCTTTCAATAAAGGAAATAAAAGCCTACTTAGAAATGCTCGAAATGATCCTTCAGTTAAGTCACTAAAATCCAGATGTACTTTTTAATAAAATATTATTGTGTGCTGTTAAAAATGACCATGTTAAGTTCTACTTTGGACTTTCTACTATAGAACTTCAGTAGATGAAAAGAATCAAATAGTAGACTGGCACTGTCCAACCATTTTAGAAAATAATATGAAATAGCTGTATCTTAATTGATAAGCACTTATAAATTCTAACTATGAATAATAACTTCTTGTAATTGGTTTCTTGTTTCTGTCAAACTTGAAAATACTACTTGCCTACAAGACTTTGAATAATAATTTCAGAGGCAATGTACCTGAAATTCACCAACACTGAAAGTAAATAAAAATGTCAGTGCACCAATATAGCTCCTACTAAGAGACTTGAAGCTGCTTTCTGAACTGGCTGGGAGCTGGTAAAGACTGACAATAATGAGACAGTTACTGTAGAAATGAAATCATTTTCATGCTGGCTGCAGAGTTCTGATGTATTTTAATCTGCCAGATATGTAGTGCCCTTCTGGCTGCCTTCAGGACTGTTTTTTCAATTCAGAATGAATATATTATAGTGTTCACACGTGGCTACTACAGATCTTTTGTTACTGTAGTTCTGGAAGGAATTTCAGTACTGCATCCCACTTTGTTAGAATCAATGATACGGCAATGAAAAATATGCATGAAAGTATTTTAAAAAGCCTCTTCAGCAAAACAACATGATTAAAAGCTGGAGATGGTAACAGTTCTCAAAATGCTCTTGTATCATTTTTAAACAGATGTCGTAACAGAGAGCCTCCAGAAGTCCTAGAACTATATATCCAGAGCTAAGTTGCACCTTGGGCAATATCTAGTTACACCTGAATGTGCAGAGAAATGAAATGAATGAGATGTGAAGCCAGAGTATGAAATGTGTTTATAAGTTCCTAAGTATCCTGCTGTTGAATAGGTTTAAACATTTGTGGTCTGGGGAATGAACTGTTTAATCATGATCACTGCACAAGTTCTGTTTCGGTTGTTTGTTTTTTTCTCTGCTAGTCCCTTTCACTCTCGCATAACAGAACAGTCTTCCTATACTTTGAAATGTGTCTTCTGAACTAACTTTTCAGCATTGGATAGCAGAGAGCTTTAGGTTTTTTTTTCCCTCTTATGTCAGTTTTAGTTTTCCCCTCTCCATTTCTCTTCATCTTTCTGTTCCACCTCAACTTTCAGGTGTGATGTAGCACTCCCACTGAAAGTCAGCAATCGCATCAGGAATGACAATGGGCGCAGAAACGTGGGCCAAGAGCTGTGTATTTTGTTTTAATCAACTCCCATTTGGCTCATATCCCGTATGAGCAACTGAGGCACTCTAAGCTAACTCTTCTACATCCATGTTGAGTTGGTAGCATTCTGCATTAGACTTTCTTTAACAAAACAGCGGTCTCCAGCATGGAGAGCTTTTTGAGACTGGTTAAATATGAATGCATGTGTGCTGGGGCTGCATCCGGCCGTGTTTGGAGCGGTACTGCTGTCAGTTGCTCTCCTTGCTGGTTTTGTACAAGTGCTGATTTAACTCAAGAAGAACAAGTTTCTTCTTTCTTTCTTTTATTTTGTTTGCTGTTACAGCAAAATATTTGACTGTATTAAGTATGATAAACGAGGGGACGTAACGTCGTGAATCTCTCCTCAAGGCACGCTTCTCCATTACCTCCTGAGGAACCAAAACACCGTACACAAAGAGCTCTCGAAAAAAGAAGGAGCCGGTGAATGAAGATGTAAGCCTCAACGCCGCGCCTGCAGACCACCACTCCCGCCTGCACCGCTCTGACCCGCGTCCGGCGCTACAGCGGTGTTGGACCACCCCCATTGTCCTGCTATATAGGGTGACGATAATGCCTCGATTTCAGGACTGGGCCTACACTGGCTGTCGGGAGGCTATTCCTAGACTCTCCCTGACGTAGAACCCCCTGAGCGCGCTCCAGGCGCTGCCCGCACCGCCGCGGGGCCTCCCGTGCCAGCCGGAGCGCCTCGGGGCCGGGCCTCGCGCCGCCGCCGCTCCCTCCTCAGCCCTCCCCGCCATTGGCCGCCAGCAGCCCTCCCCCTTCGCCGCCCGCCCGCCTCCCTCCGCGGGAGGGGCGCGGGCCGGAGAGCGCGGCTCCGGCTCCCTAGGCGCGCGTCTCGCTCTCCGGGGCCGCCCCCGCTCTGCCGCCGGGAGAGCGGGAGGCGGTGGCGGCGCTTTGCTCGCCCGTCCCCACCCGCCGGCCGCAGCCGCGCGGGCCGCCCCGGGCAGCGCCTGCTCCATGAGGCGCGGCCGTCGGCTGCCCGCGGGGCGGGGGGGCTGTCGGGAGGCCCCGCCGGAGGATGCCGCCGGGCGCTGTGGCGGCGCGGCCCCCCGGCGGGGCGCGCTCTCTGAGCCCCGCGGCGCTGTCTCGCAGCCTGTCCCGCCTGCGCGAGCACCGCGCCCGCTCGCGGGCCATGCTGGCGCTGGGGGTCACGCAGATGCTGCTGGGCTGCCTCATCGTGGCCGTCAGCTTCGCCGCTCTGGCGCTCACCACCTCGGCCCGCGTCCGCCACTCGTGTCCCTTCTGGGCCGGCTTCTCGGTGAGCGGGGGCCGCCGGGCGGGTTGGGGCTGGGGTTGGGGTGGGATCGGCGGCACGCGCCCCCGGCCGTTAAACGCTCCTAACGGTCACTGCGGGCGCGTGCCGCGGCGCCGCCTCAGCGCTGCGGGCGGGAGCGGGGAGCGGGGCCGGGCACCGCGTGGCCAGGTGCGGGGCTCCCTTCCGAACCGCGGGAGGGCCGCCGCCCCGCCGTGGAGGCAGCGCCGCGTACGCGGCTGCCGCGCCCGGGGGTCTCGGTGCCGGATCCGAGGCGCCGAAGGCGATATGAACCGAGCGCGGTGAGCAGCAGACACGGGCAGCGCCGCGCGGGCTGCGGGCACGGCCTGCCGGCTCGCTTCGGTAGCGCGTGGTTAGCCCGACTTAAAGGGCGGTAATAAATCCCGGTGCGCTTCTCCGCTCGCGGCCCCTCAGCCCGTGCGCGGGCCGCCGTGAAAGTTCTGCCCGAGCGGCGCTCGGAGAAGCGGTGGATCCCGAGGGCGCCGGGAGCGGTGCGTGCGCTGCTGGTGAGGATGAACCTCGTGCCGTGTAAAGCCCGGTTTTTGGCTGCTCGTTCTTGTGGCGGCCCGGAAAGCTTTCCGTGCTTAAAGTGCTGGTTAGGGACCAGAACCGCTGGGTGAGTGGTGCGGGTTCGGAACCACCTGTTTGTGTGCAGCACGTCGCTCGGTAACTAAGCAGTCCTATAGAGCAGGAGAGCGGTTTGCAGTCATTGTTAGGATACTTTTCTCGATTCTCCAGGATGTTCTGTAATCTTGAGAGGAAACATCAGTTCATGCGAGTAACCTTGATTCTGTCATAACAGCGTCCTTTGAGCCGTAAGCCCCGCAAGCTGAAATGCCAGCTTTTGTCACAGTGAGGTGTGAATTTCAAATCGGGAATCTGACTGCTCACTTATTAACGTGCAAATAAAACAACGCCACTGAGGCAGATCTGGTGCCTTATCTCGACAGAGCAAGCCGCAATGTGTGCTGCTGACTGTGTGTTCCAGCAAGCACGGCCTTCCCACTGATGCCTTTTCCCCTTGAATCCCATAATGTCTGTGAGGATTTTGGGGGTTATCAATATGCTGGAAGACATGCCGTTTCTCTTCTGGTTTTTTAGATGCTTTCTACTTTCCTCTCTCTGTACACCAAGGATAGGTGTGCTTTCTGATTTGATTTCTTGATTGCTACTTGCTCAGCATAGGTAATGGAGAAGAAAGATGTGCTTTATGGACACGTGTTGTGAACTGGTAGAAGCTGTAAAAAGTAAGAGGAGGGATTGCAAGGATTGTTCACTGGAAAGCCTTCCTTCCTTTTCTCTTACGCTGTTAGAATGGGGCTTTCTTTATACTTTCTTTTCCAAATTAAAGACTTAATTTTCGATGTAAAATTCTACCTTATAGACTAAATTATCAAAGAATAAGAAGTGTGCTTTTCTCCTAAGCACTTTTCTCTCAGTCTCGAGAAATAAGGTACGTAAGTGCTTTTATTGCACTGTACTGTAGAAATCAAGCACTGTAGAAATCAAGCACTTTTTCATACTATGGTGAGTCCTAAAGAACTCTCAGTGTCTTAGTCTTTAACAAACCTTATTCTAAAAGCCTTTTAAGGGCTTAGTCAACTCTGGTTGTCCTTTCCAGTTATTGTCTTACCCTGGAAATGTATGAGCATTTGCTGAAGCCACAGCAGGTCCTGCCCTGAAACTGAGGGCTGCCTGTGTGGAGCAGCACAGAGTGCTGCCAGACTTCGGAGTGGCTAAGTAGCTTAGTTGAAGTGGGAATTTCCAAGGTCAATAATCCGTTCGTTAGTAGCTGCTGAACTTACTGCACCTCTGTTTTAGTTGTACGCTGTAGCGTGTTGAAGGAATGAGTTGTGAATTATCATGCTTAATTGGCTATTCTTTCTTGGCTAATTTTTCTACTAATTCCTGTGCCTTTTGGAATCAAAGGACAGAAAAGATCATGGGGCTGCCTGAAACAATGTATAACAATTGTGGTGGTTTATTTGTATAGAAGTCCCTTACGTTCCCTCTGTTCTGCAGGAATAGCCATACTGCTTTGAAGGAATAGCCTGCAAACGTGACTGTGCTAGGGAATTTATAACCAAACTATTTACACATTGAAAGCATCACCACTTCTGTGCAAGCCATTTCTTAAGATTAAAACTGGTCCCAGAGTAAGTCCCCTCAAGTCACAGAATGTCTCCTATAGCCAAGGGCTACAACATGAATTTCTAAGAACGATGGTTCGTAATTCCTTTAAAAGCGTGTAGCGATGTTGTTTGAGACATAGTCCTCTCCCCAGCATAATTTCTCATCACTGTTGGTGGTTTGTAGGGGTGTGTCAGTGCTCCAGTTTACGTGCATGCTCCCACTCAGTTTTTCCATTGTGGATTGTTCTAAAAGCATACTGTTTTACTGGGGATAAACTGAGACTAAAAGATGTGCTGTAAGAGCTTAGGAGATGCAATGTGATTGCTGTAGGCATTAAGCCTCACTACCAAACCATAGTGTGTGTGAGTTAGATGCCTGTACAAAATGCATACAGTGTGAATGCTCTCTTAAGAGCCATTTCCTTTGCAAACAAAACTGCACTGTTCCATTTACTCCTAATTAGTTCAGCTAGGACCTGTGAAGTCAGACTGAAAACTCTTGGCTGGAGGACGTGCACTCCCTCCTTAATTCTGCCTGATAGAAGGGATTCCTGGTACTTCAGTGTGCTGGCTGCACCTGCCTCAGTGCTGCCGTGTGGATCTGCAGAGTGAAGGAGCCAGCTGGGAGGGGGTGTTGCTTCTGAGTATCTCTAAAGTGGTGCTACAGCCTGAGAGCCAATTAACACCTAGCCCGCCTTTCAGTTTAGTTTCATCTGGGAGAACTGAGGTTATGTGATCTAAGGCATTTGCGTAGCGCTAACCACAGCCCGGTAACTAAGAGCAGTCAGGAGTTTCTCCTCAAAGTACACTTGTGGTGAATTTCCAGCAGATGTACGGCTGCTCTGCTGTGTGCTTACCATCTAGCACCTGGTATGAAGGGTGAAGTGATCTTCGCTACAGCAGTCGTGTTATGCATGTGGATCTTGGTTCGTGGGAACACTTACAGCCTGTGTAGTGGTTGCATGAAACCATAACTCCCATGTCCTAAAGCAGCTTTGGGGAAGTCTTACCTTGGTGAATACGTCTCCTGCTTTAATGGGTGCGTCTGTTTGGATAGTAATAAATGAAACCAGTAGGTAGGATGTGCTTTAGAAGGTGTTATTTCTGATGGCTGTAGAATTATTGTGAATTTATTTTATAGTACTTAGAGAAATACAGAGTAATTCCTCAATGTAACGTTAGCGATACACTTGTTTAAGCTTTTCTGATAGCTGTCATTGGCCATTTGTGTATGTAATCTGTTGGTATACATTTTCCACCCTGAGCTCTTCTATTTTAAACTGTATTGTAGCCATTTTTGCAGTCACAGTTTGCATGCAGCGTCTCTGGTATAAATTCAGTGGGTTGTGTGTTCTAAGGATCCTTGGTTTGCTCTCCAGAATGTACAATACAGCGGTATTGTGAAAGGGATTTTTCTCCTCCTCCTCCTCCTTTCTCCTTCTCTTAAACTCCCATTTTTCAAAATTAACGCTGTGCATAAATGGTACACTTCTTAAAAAAAAGCAAGCAAAAACCCTGAAGTTGTTGGAATTAGAATACCATGCAACAAAGGGTTCAACCTGTTCTGGGTGTGCAAATGGTATTTGCATGTAGGCATCGGGCTGCCTGCCTCTTTTTTGGGTGGGGTTTTGAGTTGCAGAACTAAGTGGCAGTAAGTTCTGATTAGTACACAGCCACTTGTAATGAGATGTTGTTGTTAGACTGTGATTATTTAAAAAAGGAATTATTTTACAGTGCTCTAACAAATACATGCTTGTTTTTTATTGTTGTATGCAGAAAAAATGAGAAACTTCTTCAGTGTAAGTGCTTCTAAGGATATATTGATTTTTGTTGTTGTTGTTGTTTTGTATTTTATTTTATTTTATTTTTTTGGCTGAGAGGAGACAAACTGCATGGTAACTTGTGGAGTTCCGGTCTTTACAGCAGCTTGGTTGAAACATGGGTAGCTGAACTAGTAAGATCTGAACAGTATACCTCAACCCAGAGTGGACCTTGAGATGAACCTCACAACCACGCGTTATGTAGCATCAGTATCTGATGGTTAGCAGAGTATGACTATTAGAGAAATATGTGTCTTAATGAGGTTATTTTAGATCAAACATTACAAGAACGTTATGAACCTTTCCTTGTATAGAAGCACGGTATCAAGGCCTAATACACAAACTTCCTTGGTTCTTCCTTGAGCCCTGGCCAGGCTTGAGGTGGAATCCAAAAGGGAGAATGAAACCAGATGTTTCCACCCTTGAAGATATGTGAACTTATTTATTCAGCAGTATAAAAGCTGGCCCTGCTTGCAGCGAAGTTGGAGCCCTCGCCTGTGGATGGGCACATTGCATAGGAGCTTCCCTGTGAGTGTGGATCTGAGTGGTGGTGCAGTAGTTGGGCAATTGGTGACACGTCTTTCTTAATCACTGCAGTTACTCTTGTATAGGAATAATTAGGTGCATTACCGTGTTCTGTTTTATTTTTGCTGTGTCATTTCACCTTGTTTTGTTTCATTCTTGCTGCGTTATTGTTCTATTGCTTAAAGTGTAAGTAAAGATAAACTCACTATTTTGACTTGGTGTCTGTGCTGACCCCATCTGTGGACAGAGCAACAGTTGGAACTGTGTTACAAGCTTAAACTTACACAGACAGCATGTCTGGTTTATACAAGTTAATGCAAGTAGGTGACTTTGCAAGCTTGTCTTCGGTTTTAAATATGAATTTTCATCCTTTCTAAATGCCATCATTGTGAATAATATGTTTTGCAGAACAAGCAAGTAATATCCTTATTGTACAGTTCTGGTAATCCAGTCACCTATCAGGAGCCTGTGTCAGAATTACATTAATGTGAGGACATAATTTACTTAC